TGAGCTCTACCAGTGCATGATCACTGCAGCCCAGGCTGCCTCCGATCTTGACATCTCCAACGAGCTCGCTTGCATTGGTGACCACCAGGTCCAGTATCGCATCCCCTCGGGTAGGGGTGTCTATTACCTGGCTTAAGAAGTTGTCCTCAATGCATTTGAGAAACCTCCTGGATTGCCTACAGCTTGCCGTGTTGGTTTTCCAGCAGATGTCAGGGTGGTTGAAGTCCCCCAGGAGGACGAGAGCCTGCAAGCACGAAGCCTCCCAGAGTTGGAGGAAGAATGCTTTGTCAGTCGGCTCCTCTTGATCTGGCGGTCTGTAGTAGACACCAACCACCAGGTTCCCTTTGTTGCCTCTCTCTCTGATTCTTACCCATAAGCTTTTGACCTGCTCGTGGCTATTCTTCAGGGTCAGCTCTTTGCACTGTAATGATTTCTTGATGTAAAGGGCAACGCCTCCGCCCCTCCTTCCCTGCTTGTCCCTTCTGAACAGCCTGTAGCCATCAATAGCTACATTCCAGTCGTGGGATTCATCCCACCAAGTTTCCGTAATAGCAATCAGGTCATAGCTTTCTAGCAGCAATCTCACTAACAAGAACAGTATAGTAGGAAAGAAAGAAGATGCTCATTAAAACATATTTCAAAAGAAGTATTTTTTAGAAGAAATCTGTGATGAGATATTTGAGCAGGTCCTCATAAAAGGTTTATAAAATTTTGTGTTTCTTTGACTCATTCCATTTTTAACATAGATTTTGTAGGGCACCACTGAAATCCTTCTCCCTGAAAAGGCCATTTACGCATCTATTTCTGCTCCTTTAAGATGAAATGGTAACTAGCACAGCTTGCCATGTCTTCATCCCAACACCATAAACAGATCCCAGCTGCATCTGTGTTCCAGCTTTGAAAAATGAGGATTAGATTTCCTCTGTTTAACTTTGTCTTAAGTTTCTACAAGATTATACTCTGGTTACAGTAAAACATCAGCTGTACGACTTTCTCTTTCTTTGGTTATTGCCCCTTAGGTATAACATTGTAATCAAAGGGAGGTCAATTGTATCAAAATAGAAGTTTGCCAGAATTTATCTGGCATGAATTCTTCCCTCAAGATTTCATTATGAAGTGTTACTTCTGAAGAGAGCCCACTAAGTATTATCCAAAATCTAAGAAATTACTTTACAAGACTCGAAACATAAATTACATGGATCTGAACACAAAAGACAGAGTAAGTACTGGATCTGAAGACTAATCTTGGTCAATATCATATCAGTAGTAGTAAGGCATAGTTTAAAATACCTTAATACAATGTATTAATTCACAGGTAGATAAAAGGCTCAACACTGAATGTGATGAAACTGGAGGATTCAGGACGGCAGTGCACATTGTCTAAAGGAGCTTCTCACAGTTTAATTCCATGTCCAGAAGTCAGAGTAGGAAGCACACTAAAAAATTTAAAGTTCTGCATTCCAGTCCACAGTGACAACTGCAGAATTCAGTAGACACTTGCTAGGGGATCAGTTTGCCACTAGCGGTGGCACTTGAAAAAGGTTTGCAGGAGCTCCTGGGAAGATTACGATGCTGTGGTGTGCAGGTTGAAATAACTCTTTAAAATAAAGTGGTATTTAACCACAAAAAGCAAAAGCCACCACGTGATCCTTATGATCTTATTGGCCTTCATACATGAAGGCAAATGTTCAGTACAACAATATTACATAGAAAGATGAGTGAGACCTGTGTTAGAGATTCACAAAGCCTATAGGTCTTACTGTGAAAAAAAACAGCAGAAAAAAATAGAGCTGCTAGCCATTGAGTTTAACATATTTTTGACATTGGGAATATTAGCTCTTTGCAGTCTGGGGATTCATTCTGCCTTCCTCAGTCTGAACTAAGCATCTTTCTATTACATTACATAGATAATGTGTTGGAGGTGTTGGAGAGAAAATTCTATTCCCATCAAGACATACAGCAAAACTCCCACCACTTTCAGTGGAGTCAGCATATCACCTAGTTTATCTTTGTCAGTTTGTGTTCTGTAATCTCGGTATTGCCAAGTTTCACGTAATTTGGAGTTTTCCTTAAAACTCTAATTCCCCTGGCAATCTGAAATTCACCTTAACAAGACAAGATCTCAGGGATGTGGACAAGAGAGTTGACTGATTAAATTCATCTTAGAGCAAAAATTTCTGAAGATTCACACTGCATTTCACCACTGACTCCTTTTTCTCCACTCGTTAAAGACATATATACATATCTTCTATTCTATGATTCCATGATTCTATGATTCTATGATCTTCACTGCAGAAGTCTAAAGGTGAGATGACCTTTTTTTGCATACATTTTGCAACCAAACCTACGCTTCTAGCAAGTTCAAATGTTCTGCATTCAGTTATACCAATGGTAGCAAAACCTCTGTCATTATTAGTATTATTCACAAGTACTTGATAAATATTTCTGGTTTATTTTCAGTGCTATGTTAACAGAGCACTCACAAAGGTGGAGGTATGGCTCTACATGCATTTTCTTTGGCAGAAAACGCGGGCTGAAAAGTTCCTGAGCTGTTACACTTCTTTTTTATCCTAACTTCTCAGTTTACTACTCTTTTGCTTATGCCAACACAACTGTTCACAGGGCCATTCTGTAAACCAGATTTCAGGTTTGCCCTCAGAAAGAAAAGTTCTGTGTTTTTTTCTAAAGTTTTGTCACCTCAGATTTCAGAACAGTCTTATGATGCAGCTGCTGGAGCACTGAACTAGAAGCACAAGCATCTGGACAAGACATTTCTTGCCCTGTCTTTCCACTGGAATAAAAATGGAATGGACTTTTGTCATTTTTTTAAGTGCCAGGTGTGAACTTGCTCAGAGGCTTTGCAGGGAAGTGAACAAATGTCAGAGGTATCTGAGTGAGGACCCTTCTGACACAGCTGACCCTAAAGCATTTGGCACATTTCAAGATCAAGATTAGGAGACTCAAGATTTAATATAGGCTTTTCTATTCAAAAAAATAAGATTAAGCATAGAATGTCACTGTTCTGGCCCAAACTGTACATGCATTGAATATATCTTGGTTGAAGTTGACCATACTGTCACCTAAATGCATGCACACTCAGGTAACCATCTAAATCATCTATCCATGCACATAGGTATTCTGCCTGTTAGTATCCTACAGCATTATAATGGTCTTCTTCACTTAGTCCTTCCATTAATTTGATGAGTCTTGTTTATAAATTTATCATGTCTTAAAGAAAGAGTCTACCTGCCTCCTTGTACACCTTTCAGAATACTGATTACCTAGTACTACAGTATTGTAGTCACTATAACAGGGCAGCACCACCATACTCATAACCCACATTTACTAAGAACATCCAACCTGAGAGCAAAAGCAAAGTGTCTAAGCAGTTGAACAATCACAGTTAAAGCAACAGAAAAGAACCAGTAAATAAAATTAAACCATGCTTATACTCAACCAAATAAGTGAAATTATGCAAAATACTTATGAATTATAGTCTTTTTCTGAGGTTTAAATGAGATGTGTGAACTGCAATACTGTCTAAACATGCAAAGCAGTTTATTTGTCTTTGTTGTTCTTGTTCTTTCTTCACATACCATGTATAAAACCAGGATGACTTAGGACTTAAATACTTTTCCAACTCTGTAAATACAACTGTGCATTCTCCAGCACCACTGCCTACAGAAAGGCACAAAAGAGCAAAAAAAGAAAGCATGAAAATACCCATCACCACCACACCAGGAGTATTTATGAGCCCGGGAATATGACAATTTGCTAATTAGCTAAACCTATAAAACAAAATAAAAATGCTTAGTCCACTTGCAGTTCAATTGTTTGTCTTACTGTTTTCAGGATGGTGGTTTGATGCCTGTGGCCCCTCCAATCTCAATGGGATGTTCTACACAGCTGGGCAAAACCACGGAAAGCTAAATGGCATCAAGTGGCATTACTTCAAAGGCCCCAGCTACTCCTTGCGCTCTACCACCATGATGATTCGGCCCTTGGACTTTTAAAGACATTCAAGCAGTGGATCCAGAACAAACCAGGACAACACTGCCCTCAGCAGCACCACTATCACAGTCTAAAGGTAAAAGGTGAAGGGCTTCTTGAAAGCAACAGGAAGAGATGATGTAAAGTCTCTTCGTTATCACTCCATAACTTACAAAAACTCTCCAACAGTGACCCCACATTTTGATGACCAGGGGAGGTTTGGTTTAGAAGGTGGCTGCAATGATTTTCTGGAGAAGAACAAATGGATCTGGTTGTTCTGCCTGACTCTGGTGCTTGTCAGTGGATGTCCTTTTTTTTTTCTTAATAAGAGATGCAAAACCATACTAGATTATTCAGCAACATCATCAGAATTTGAAGAACTGAAATGTATCAACCAAGGTCTGTTGAGCAGAATGTTATTCATCAGTGAAATACCAACATTATACGTATGAAAAAGGATTATGGAGACACCTTTATTAAAACTCATCTTAAAGCACTCAAGGTGACCACTCCAAATATTGTTTCTTCTTAAATGAACTGAATTTGAATGGTGGATGGATATATGTTAATCCCAGAGTCAAATAATTTGTGTGAATATTATTTTTCATGAAAACGTTTAAGGACATGTTTCTCATAAATAAACTGAGTCAAACATATGAAGAATGGTAAAGGTAATGCACAAATTCTTCAGTTGCTCTGTAGAAGTAAATCAGATAATTGGCATAATCCCCGAGCTAGGATTTATAGTGTGATAACAAAAGTAGCTGTGTTTTGAGGTTTTTCCCTTCTTTCATTAAAGGCAGTCTGAATGTCATGTAGAAAAATTAATGGAAGGTTTAAAGAATGTGAAATATTACCCTAAAGAAAATATGGGATTTTGCATGGAATATTTCCATCCAAATTACACAGGAAAGCAAACTGTTAGGGTATATAAAAATTACATAAACGCATAGCTTAAGGCAATGGATTCATTTTACAGTATCCTTGCATGTGCGCAATTTATCATTAATTATTTTACTTTTTTATTACATTTTTGTGAATATCAGAAGCATGCCAGTTCTACACAGTGCTTAGGCTACAACTATAAAAAATACTCATCAGAACTGTATAGAAAATAAAGAATTGTGAACTTGTAAATAGCATGTTGATATTTCCTGTAATGGTCACATAATTTGTACAGGCAGCCCTGACCCTGCTCAAAGGGTGCAAAGCCTCAAAAGGATATAAATATTAAGAGAACTTGAGAAGACTGCTACAAGTTGTTAACAAGTAATTTTGTCATATTAAAATGTTGCGGAAGTGTGGGGCAAGATGCACAATTCAACTGTTGGAAAAGATAAAGTTCCTGTAATAACAAGCAACAAAGTGTACAGGTGGCCCAGGAGGCTGGAGAGAAAACTCTTCCCATTTAAAGCCCGTTGTGACTTAGTCATATGAATAAAGTCCATTTGGGAAAGTAGCTTGCAATCATTCTACTTCTGCTACATATAAATGGAAAAATTTTACCCTGATCCCACTGAAATCAAAAGTGACATTCTCATCAGTTAAATTGGGACCAACATGATACATAAAATCTGATTGTGGTGAGATTTTGCTTGTCTGTTTGTTGCTTTGTTTCATTTATTAAACTGTTCCTGAGATCAGGCACAGCAAATAATCTGATTCTTTTTTAAAGAATGATGATAATAGAGTAACTGCTTTCTTTTTTCCTTTTTTTCCCCTCTGTTTTTTTTTTTTTTTTTCCCTTTAGCAATTTATTTCTATGGAATATCTATGGCATAGAAAAAAACTGCTTGGATTTTTTCAAACACCTCTTCCTAAAGGTCACAAGGCCCCACAGGGTTCTCTGTTTTTGTTACAATTTGATGTTTGTTTGGTTTTAAGTGGGAAGATCTTTGCTTTTGTGTATTTGTATATATTTATATATATATTTGAAATAACCTTGCCTAAGGGTTTTAATTTGCTGTTTTCTGCTGAATAAGTTACCAAACTACTCCTTACTCAGCAGTTTCTTCACAGAGCTGTTTTGTCTCAGTTTCCAGCAGTTTTTTGAAATGGTCTTCATTTGTGCAAAATATGTGGTCTCTCTTCCTCCATATTCTCAAAAGATATATTTTTGCAGGTCTCCAAGTTACGAATGCCATTTTTGCAGATCCTATTGCAAAAGGCAAAACACATTTACAATCAAAAGCATGATATTTACTGTTTATTTATCTGGGTTTGAAAAAATGTGGATTTGGTTTCCTATCCTTTATAATAAAACATTGTAAAAAAATGCAGAGTCCATGATTTTCTTTACTTTGACTATACCTTTCAGCGACAGGCTGACGACATTTTACAAGGCACCATCTCTCCTTGCATGAAATATTATTAAATTTAGACAAAGCCTAGGAAGGGAGTCTAATTAGAGTTTGTCCAGAAATTAATATTTCTAAGTTTTCCAATCCACGTTTCAGTATTTTTTATTCAATTTCCTTGATTAAAATCATAGGACTCTTTCTCATTTCATCTTCAAATCATACAACTCTCTATCAACCTTTAAAAGAAAATGTTTATTGAATTCCACAGGCAAAGGTACAAATTGAAGTGTGATGCTTGTTTCTCTTGCCTTATGACGTGTTCTTCTATCATCCATTTGATCATGTTGCATGGCGGTGACAAATCTTCATTGATCTCTCAGCCAGAAATGCCTCTTGCTCCATTTGTATGCCTTTTAACACTATAGAGATCAGTTTTAACAGCTCTTTGTAGTCAATTTATCCTCATTTTCTCAGGAATTTTTGCTTAGTTCATTGTGTTTGTTCAGACCAACCTAGCTTTTTAAATCAACACTGAAGTTGTGAGGAGCTACATACACAAAAGCACATTTTGCTCCTTAAGTTGAACATGCATGTACTGCATGAATCAAAGAGTTACAGTTAGTAAAAAGAGTCTTTCTGGATTTGATTTATATTAAAATGTCACTTGCCTTGAAAGAAACTAAAAAAAATAGGCAACGGCCAACCATAATAGTAACTTTACTATTCACTGTTCACAGATAAATTTATTCCTTTTATAAAATAGAAATACACAAAATGTTCACAAATCAAGAGACGTGTTTTCCATAGTATATTTTTAATATCTTCTAAGGCTGAAGATGTAATTTAAATGCACACTTTTCTAAGTGCCCTAGCATCCAGTGCTGGCCTATTAAGCAGGCAAATCATCTACATTTATACTCATCTGTACAACAGAGTCCCAAGACACAGTTCCTTAAAAAACCCTTCCAGCTATAATAACAGCTTTCTTCTTTGCAGACCTGCAGCTCAAACCACAGCTCTGACCATGCCTCGAGCGACCTCCTTTGGGATTGGCACAGCACTCACTTCTCCTTTGGGAAGAACAAAACTGCAACAGCAATCACAACAAGAGCTTAGCTCTCTAGGCAGGATCAAGCTTAATTTACAGCCAGACTGTGCTGCAGTTGTGCCAGAAGGCATTCCTACCTGCCTGCTTTTACACAAGCTGGACAGCTTGAGGAGAGAGGCAGTAACCCCTGAATAGAGCTGATGCTGCCGGTGTTGCCTGGCTGCCTGTGGTGTGCACCCACACATGAGCATGCACACACACACACATATCCATATGGCTGAAGAAGGCTTAACACAGCTAATCAAAATGACCTTTTTTAAATTGTATCTGGAGGAACTGTAATCTCAAGTACAAAAACAAAAAAAAAAATCCTGAAAGCAACAAAAATGAAATAGATGGAAAGTGCAAATGCCAGCAGGAAGGGAGGATTAAGGGATAGCATGTGGAAGGTAAGGGAGCAAGAGCAGAAAGAGACAAGGCAGGGATATGGGACTGTAATGAAGAAAGGGAAAAGACAGGCAGATAGGGAAGAATTGAAGGGAAGGGATTACTCGTGAGACACAGCAGCTCCCTATTTCCCGTGCCACATCTGTCACACAGTGTAGAAATTCCTTTCTTCCCCAGAAGTGTCCGAGCCCCCCTCTCCCTGACTTCTGCTCATATGAGCAGGAATCTACAGGTCTCGTTTGCTTTTGTATGCTCTGGGGGTTTTGTTTGTCTGTGTGCTTTTTTAATTTTTGCACAGCAACCAATTTCGTATGGATCTTTGAGAAGACATGCTACTTATGGTTATGTCAAGATAGCTCTATAGCAGGTCCTTCAAAAATTGAAAGTTCCTTTAGAAGATACTGTATTCTGTTGTGTGAATTTTAAGGACTGATAATGAAATAAAACCTATGCCTATTCAAAATCTTGTTAAATTAACACCTTCATTCTTCTACTAGATAAAATTTCCATTGGGAGCAGACCTTATTCTCCATATGAATGGCCTGCACAATTTTCAGAACTGGTGAGTTCAATTAAAAAACAGCTATATACAATAAATACAACCCCAAAAAACCGTTGCTATATTAAAGTACATGAAGACCTAGACACCAGTCCTGTGTTTCAGTACAGAGAATCTTGAGCCCTAAAGTGTTACCATAAATTTTCTTTCTTTCATTATGTTTCTCATGTTTCTCTCATTTTAATAGTGCCCATGTGCCTCCTTTTAAACTGCTGGCAGTGCTTGCCTCCTACCACCTCAAAGTAGTCACAGGAAGGCAAGCACCACATTTAACAGAAGACAAAAGACCTACAGATGCTTGTGCCCACAACCACAATATCAGCTATGGGGAGGGCAAAGTCAGCCCCAGCAAACCATGGGGAAGGAACTTGTCTTGACAGTCACTTGCTCTGCAGGGCCATGGAGGGGAAAAATAGGCACATATACACTTGGAGGACCTTCTTCCTACTTAAAGAGAAAATGGATGCTTTGCCAGGTCAGCCCTGTAGGAGCCCTAATAAGACCCCAGAAGAGAAACTCATAGGCATCTGCTTCAGCCCAGTGGGAAAAGGAGGGGAAAATGCTCTGAAACAAGGGAAAGTAAAATTGAAGAATCCTGATACACTGAGAGAGGTAAGAAAGAGTTGGGGAAGGTGAGAAAATGGCTGTTATAGGATAATACAGCTAAGAATGCAAAGAGATAAGATTAGGAAGCTGAGGGCAAGGCCAGCAAAAGAAGGAAGTCAGTTTGACAAAAAGAGTGTGGACAAGATGAAAGCACAGGAAAAGGAGAAAAATGAAGAATTAGGCAGAAGAATTTGTTAATGTATTTATTAGAGGAGAATTAGTATCCAATTAATTTTCCAAAGCCTAAAAGGAACAGCGTGGCCATTTTACTTTCTGCTTTCATTTAATATTTACAATGCAATGGAGAGACATTGACATCTGGTAAAATCTAAAGCCATACTTAAAAAGCAGTCCCTAAGAAGGAATTTTTGGTAACATGCTGTCTGAGAAACAGTTCATGCTTTTAGCATGAGACAAGAATCCACCAGTAGATAAATCAGCTTTGGATAATATTTATTTTTCTGTTAAAAGATGTGGATCTCCATCCTTTTTCAGCCTTCTCATGCTTATATTTAGAATCATTGTCTGCTCTAAAGGAAACTACAAATCTCAGACCTGATCTCATTCAGCTGTATTGTTGAACTGCTGATTTGTTTTCTTTTGCGTAATGGAGCAGAACTCTTGGATATATATTTTACTCTTCTTTTTTAAGCAAACCTTTCTTTTTTTTTCTTTTTCCTTTCTTTTAATTTTTCTTCCTTTCTTTTTTCTTTTTTCTTCCTTTTTTTTCCCTCTTTCTTTTTTTTTCCCTCACTTAAAAGCTTCTGCTTTGGAGTTCATCTTTGATCCACCAGAGATGATTATTTAATCTCTCTTTGATAGCTTCACTTAGTGCTGTTTGTTCTGCAAAACCTCTAGGCAAAATTCTCCTCTAGAATCATGCAGTAGTTCTTGTCTCCAATCTTCTACTCTGCCTTCATGCAGAGTGAGTATCGCACTGCCAGGCACCAATACTGTCCTTTTTGAGGGGTTTCATTCAGTCCTTCCAGGGAATCTGGAACTCTTCTTCACTATGACCATGGTGAGGCACTGGAACAGGTTGCCCAGAGAAGCTGTGGATTCTCCATCTCTGGAAGTTTTCAAAGCCAGGTAGGATGGCGCTTTGAGCAACCTGGTCTAGTAAAATGTGTTCCTGACCATGGCAAGGGGGTTGGATTAGATGATCTTTAAGGTCCCTTCCAACCAAAAACATTCTATGATTCTGTGATTCCTTGCAGCAACCTCAGTGCAAGTCCTAGGTCCCACAAATCCTGGCCCACTCCTGCACACTGACTACCAGCTTCCTGGTTCATTCTGGCTGAAAAGCCACATCAGAGCTATCTGTACCCTAGTCCAGGTAATGGGGAAGTGATCAGCCCCTCCTGCTTCCCTCCTACCCCTTTCTCCTGGAATAGCTCTCTGTCCCAAGAGTGGAGAGGAGCTTGGCCCAGGAGCCACCATGACCGCAGTTTCTCACAAGCTGATGGCTCCACACACCCCCAGGTTGTGCACACAGTGGAGCAGCCCCTGCAGACTGAAGGTGCTGGCTTTAGATTGCCTGGTCACAAGCCAAAGACAATACAACTACGTGCCTCTTCTTTTTAAGAAGTACGGCCTCATTAGCCAAATGTTATTCCACTAATTCATTCCACTTATTAGATTAAGAAATTAATGCTAGTTTTACCACAAGAGGAGACAGGCAGCTCCCTAAAC